TTTAAACAGCTCTTAGCATCCAGAAAGCTATTGGTTGTTTTCTATTAATTTTATAAATAGCCATCGTATTGAATTCTTACTGTTGCTCCTTATTTTTCCTGTTGATTTTTCTTGTTTCTTTCTGGATATAAATTCTATCATCTAAAACAATAACAACATTGTTTCTGAGAGTAACTTTGATTTTTCCTTTCCAATAATTAAATCTTTTCTTCCCTTTTTCTGTTTGGATTGGTTAGTATTCACAGAATAATCTATATATATAAAAGCCTAAGCGACCGTTCAACAGTAGCTATGACGTGCACTGACCACCAGGGGCAGACGCTCCTACTGGTAGGTTAGCTTGCTGCTGGGGTCTGGCCTATCGGGACTGGGTGAGACGGGCTGCACACACCCTGGAGCCCTCCCGCAGTTCCTCCCTGGCCCTGATTGTGCACTGGTGTGAGGGACCCCACCGGTGCACAAACCTGTGCACCGGGCCTCTAGTGTTTAATAATATTGCAGTAGTTGGCACTAGAATGCTAATCCTTTTATTATTTCACATCCAAGTGAGTTGCTGGCTTTTATATTTGAGATTTTTTTTATCTCCCTTCCTTCATCAAAGAAATATGCATCTGTTATTTCTCCCAGGGTTACTTTTGTCCAGATGCTGTTTTGGTATCTATCAAGGTGATTGTACATATTTATGTGTGAATTCTTATTATGATTTATATTAATACTAATGACCCGGTGCACGAATTCGTGCACATTGAAAGGAAATTAATTAGAAGGTGGCCAGTGGGGTGTGACTGGGTGAGACAGGCCAGACATGCCCTGGAGCCAACCTCCCGTGGTCCCTTCCCAGCTGGCCACACCTGGGTGGCACTGTGGCTTGGGGGTGTCTGCGGAGTGAGCGGGGTCTCTCTGGCAGGTGGGGTCCCTTGGCCTGGCCTGCCGGGATCAGGCCGAAACCGGCTCTCCAACATCCCTCAAAGGGTCCCGGAGTGCAAGAGGGCACTCTGCAAAGTTGCTGTCATACAGGGTGTGGATTGCAAACGCAAGTATGCAATAAACCAGATTTGGGGCCAACAGTGCCCCAGCAACAACATAAACCATGGACGAAGGTGGAATCGTGCGGCCCTGCAAGGAATCAGGCTCCCTCCTCTCTGTTTTTGGGGTGCGTCACCTGAGAACTGCCGCTGCCAAGTCACTGCAGCTCAGCAGCTCCTGCGTTGAGCATCTTCCCCCTGGTGGTCAGTGCGCGTCATAGCAACTGGTCAGATGGGCAGAGGGACACAGCATATTAGCCTTTTATACATATAGATATTTTCTAATGTCAAACCAACCTTGCCTTCCTGGGATGTGCTACAATTAATGATACATTCTTTGCATATACTACTAAATTACCTTTGATAATTGTTTTATTTTCTATTTTTAATTAAATTTATTGGGGTGACATTTTTAAATAAGATTATATATGTTTCAAATGTGCAATTCTATGACACATCATCTGTATATTGCATTGTGTGCCCACCACCCAAAGTCAAATCTTCTTTTGTCACTATATATTACACAAAAATATGGGATGCTTCATGTATTTGCATGTCATCCTTGCTAATCTTCTCTGTATTATTCCATGCTAATCTTTTCTATATCATCTCAATTTTAGTATATGTGCTGCTGCTGAAGTAAGCACACATTGAATAATTTATCTAAATTTTTATATCTTATTAAGTTAGATAATGTAACTTCCATTTTTGCGGGGGTTTTTTCTTTATTTTTTCCATTTTTGTGTATGTGTTTGTTTTTTATTGATATTAGAAAGAGGAAGGGAGAGAGAGAAAAAGAAATATCAACTTGCTATTTCACCTTTTTATGCACTCATCATGCTATTCCACCTTTTTATGCACTATTGGTTGCTTCTTGTATGTGCCCTGACTTGAGATTGAACCTACAGACTTGGTGCATTGAGATGATGCTCAAATCCAGCTAGGGTGTTTGCTTATTGTTGTGAAATGTGTATAACAAAATTTACCATTTAAACCATTTTTATGTGAACAGTTTAGTGACATTAGATACATATGGCTACCATAACCAACATCCATCTTCAGAACTTTTTCATCTTCCCAAACTGAAATACCCATTAAACAATAACTCCCCATTTTTCTTGTCCTCCAGTACCTAGTAACCACAATTCTACCTTCTGCCTGTATGACCGTGAACATTCTAGGTACCACATACAAGTGGAATTATACAATCTTTGTCCTTTTTTGTCTGGCTTATTTCACTTAGTATGCTGTCTTGAAGGTTCATCTGTACTGTACCATATATTAGAATTTCATTTCTTTTTAAGGCTGAATTAATCCATTGTATGTATATACCTAATTTTTGTTGTTTTTATTTTGTTTATTCTGATTTAAGAGAGAGATGAAGGGAGAGAGAGAAAACATCAATTTGTTGTTCCACTTATTTATGCATTCATTGATTGATTCTTATATGTGCCCTGACCAGGGATCAAAACCACAACGTTGGTGCATCGGGATGATGCTCTAACTGAGCTACCCAGCCAGGGCCCACATTTTGTTTATTCATTCCTTAGTTGTTGGACACTTGGGTTGTTTGTTTCCACCTTTTGGCTATTGTGAATAATGTTGCTGTGAACATGAATGCACAACTATCTGAGTCCCTACTTTAAAATTTTTTTGGTATATACCTAAAAGTGGAATTGCTGGATCATATGGTAATTCTACATTAAATTTTTTGGGGAATTGTAATACTGTTATTTACAGTGGCTACACAGTTTTGATTCCCACTATACTCCAGGGTTCTAATTTCTCCACATTCTTGCCAATGTTTATTTTCTGGTTTTTGTGGATTTTTTGTTTTTTTGTTTTACAATAGCAATTCTGATGGGTTTGAGTGGTATCTCATATTGGTTTTTATATGCATTTTCCTAAGTATTTGTGACATTGAGCATTTTTACTTATTTTTGTTAATCCTCACTCGAGGATATTTTTCCCGTTGATTTTTATTTTATTTATTTCTTTAAGCAAAGGTGGAAATTTATTGAAGAACAGGTACAGGCTCCCATGTGGGAAAGGGGAAATAATTTCACAGCACAGACTCCCACGTGGGGCGGGGGAAAGAGTCCCCCCTCCATTGATTTTTAGAGTGGAAGGGAAAGGGAGAAACAGAGAGGGAAACATCGATGTGAGAGAGACACATGCTGAGCATCTTTATATGTGCCTATTGGCCATTTGTACATCATCTTTGGAGAAATGTTTATTTAGGTCCTTTGCTCACTTTTTAATTGAGTTGTTTGTTTTTTGTTGTTGAATTGAGTTGTACATATAAAAGGAGTTATTTATATAATCTGGATATTAACCCCTTATCAGATATATGATTTGCAAATATTTTCTCCCATTCTGTGGGTTGCCTTTTCACTTTGTTGATAGTGTCCTTTAATGCACAAAAGTTTTTAATTTTGATGAAGTGTAATTTATCTTTTTTTCCTGTGCTTTTGGGGTCATACCCATGTTATTTCTATAATGATACCTATTAGGTTTAGTATTGGTATTATGCTCATCTATACCAATAAAAACCTATGTGGTTGTCACACCATCACATCGTCACACCGTGATGCTCTCATGCTGTAACCCATCACCAGGAGACTGCGTGCACAGTGTACGCACGTGCGGTTGAGCAGGACTGTGTGAGCTGTGAGGTGCACGCGTGTGGGCGGGAACTTGACCAGGAGGTGCATCAGGGGAGTGGATGGCGGCTGCTGCTGCACAGGGCTGGCGCAAGGCTCAGGCAAGCCACCAATGGCAGCTGCTGCTGCCCAGGGCTGGCCCGAGGCTCAGGCAAGCTGCAGATGATGGCTGCTGCTGCGAGGGCCTGAGGCTCAGGCAACCGAGGGCCAGGCCAAGGCTTGTGCAAGCCACAGTGGCTGCGAGGGCCAAGGCTCAAGGCAGCCTTGCAGCCAGCAGTGGCAGCAGCAGAGGTGTGATGGGGGCGTTACCTTTCCCTGATTGCTGGCTCGCCTCCCACATAGGGAGGCCAGAGGCAGCAGCAGCAAAGGGGTGATGGGGGTGGTGCCTTTCCCTGATTGGCTGGTTTTCTCCTGCAGAGGGAGGCCAGACTGCTGCTTAGGCCCGCTCCCCATAGGGAGCGGGCCTAAGCTGTCAGTAGGACATCCCCTGAGGACTCCCAAACTGTGAGAGGGGGCAGGCTTGGCTGAGGGATCCCTACCCCCCCCATCCCCACCCCCCCACCCCCCATGCATGAATTTTCATGCACTGGGCCTCTAGTCTCATAAAATAAACTTAGAACCTTACCATCTTTCTCTGTGTTCTAGAAATACTTTAATAGAATAGAATTTCTCTAATTTTTAAAAAACAAGTTCGTTTAATTCTGAGATTGAACAGTGATAATGGGGAAAATTTTAGGTGTATGAGAGGATGATAGCAAAGGAGAGATCATAAAACTGCTGAAAGGGAAACATAATTAGAAGAGACTAGTGGATGAATACTAGTCTCTACCTTCCACATCCCTGCAAGTATAACACGTACTAGGATTATGTCCATTTATCTGTTGCCTTCTAACCAAAAGCTTTGAGCTTCTTGGAGGGAATGTGTATGTGTGGTATCGTTAGGTTTTGGGTAAGGATGTTTTTCTGAAAACAGCTGGTAGGGAAAATAAGGTTCCCTTATTAAAAATTTTGCTTAAGTACATCTATTTTGTAATCCAAGAAACACCTAAAATTGGTCATGTCAGGCGTGATTAAGGATAAGGAGAAAAGTTTGGTTTAAATTTTAAATGACATTCCTTATTCTTCCACTCAACTTTTGCCGGGGTCCAGCCCCAGCGGGCCAGGGGTTTTCATTTTTGTGTTTCATTCAAGAAAAGTGTGCTTTAGGCACTTGTAACACTAATATATTAGGGGGAAAAGTGATCTTTTCATTGTGGGAACATTTCTGCTACTGGCTATTTTAACTAAATGTTGTTCCTTTTGATTTAGGAGCTGAAGTTACCCTCCTATAAAGGCCAGTCCCCTCAACTAAGTCTCAGAAGGTATTTTGCTGACTTGATTGCCATTGTGAGCAATCGCTTCACACTCTGCCCTTCTGCCCGACATCTTGCTGTCTATTTGCTGGACCTATTTATGGATCGGTATGACATCTCTATCCAGCAGCTTCATTTAGTTGCACTTTCCTGTCTGCTTCTGGCAAGTAAGTATGAATCTGATCTACATGATTGGAAATTTCTATTGTTTATAAAAATGAAATAAATTTATGTAAAATATCAGTAAATATCAGAACTCAGTAAAATATCACCAAATTCTATTTATTCAGGTTTATGACTATCAGAAAGTTTGGTGTTGAAAGTTCTCCTTGGGACAATGATTCTTAGACATTAAAATGTGGCTCTAGAGTCTTTTAAAAACATATGTGCCTAAGCCATACATCCTGCAGATTCTGAAATAAATGTCTAGGCCACTCCAGAATCAACATCATGAGGCCTAGGTATTTAACTTTTTGAAAAGTTCCAAAGATGATTCTGGTGTCTTTCCACTTGAGAACCATTGTCTTAAAGCAGTAGTTTTCATCCAGGAGTAATTGTGCCCCACAGGGGATTCTTGGCAATGTGTGGAAATGGTTTTGGTTGTCATCACAACCTGAAAAGATGCTACTAACATCCAGTGGGTAGAGGTGGGGCAGTACCCCAAAATAGAATCATCTGGCCCAAAATGTCAATAGAGCTGAGACTGAGAAACTGTCTAAAAGATACCATACTCTTCTATTGTTAGAATACCTTCTTCTGATTGTATAATGAGTAGCTTAAAGAACTGAAGGTTCACATACAGTTGCTATACATGTGGACATCTTTGCTTATGTCATAGGCACAACTATGTGGTAGGTAGGCGACAAAGTGGAATCTGATATAGCCATGCTTGTTACCCAAGGCAAAATGTGCTGTTGGGCTTTTTGGTACCTCTTTCTCTTAACATCTTCCTGTAACTCATTTCATTGTTTGTTAGTACCCCAACTGAAGAGAAAGAGGATGAGTAAAGGAATTGAAATGGAGTTTTTCTTCTATTAGTAATGTGAGAAGATTGTACTAGATATGGGAGTTGAATCCATTATGTAGTTTATATATTATTTATGTAATTATACTAGAAATCTAAGCCCCACTTCAAAATAGTATTTAGAAATACCTGCTGCCTTTATCTTTAACCCCAACTTGAGGGTTTGGGGTCTATTGTGGCTGCTCTCTAAAGAGCATTTCCCATACTGCGTTCTTTCTAAAACATCTTTGTGCTTTTACTGCAAATAAACTTAAAAGCAAATGCAGGCCTCTGTGGTATTATTTCTGGTACTAATTTTTTCTCATGCTTTCTTTACCTACCCTAATTCTTCCTTTGAGCTGATGACCTTAACTACTTATTTAGTCTCCTTGGAGGTCTTTTTATAAGTTATTTCAAATCCTTTGTGGACCAAGTTGAATGTAAATAAATACAGCCCTAGTGAAGACTTCCCACTGCCTGTTGATTAAGGAAGAAACTCGTTAATGTAATATTTTGAACCTTTCATCTGAACCCAGCCACCTTTCAAGTCCCATCTTCCAACCCTATTCCCATGTACTTTGAGCTAAATTCTACCAGAATACTATCTACTTCCTGAAAAATCTACATTTATCCTTTAATCTATTTACATGCTACTCCTCACCCAGAAAGCCAGAGAAGTAATGCTTGTATATTTATAATTAACCTTTAATTTAACCTTTAAGGTTTCATAAGCAATCATGTATACAATTTTGTATGTGTTTCATCACTGGCTGTGAAGCCTTTTGTGGTTTAATAGTTTGCATAGAATTGGAAAAACCCATACTTGGCATATCACATATGTGAGAGTCTACAAATGGAATGGTTTCTTGTTATGCTACTAATGTTAGTAATAATTATTAGGGGCTCAGTTTATAGTAGAGACACGCTGGAAATCACATATGCAAGTTATGTTATTTTTAAAATTTGGGATCATTAATGAAAAATAAATTTTTGCCTGCTAGCCTTTAATACTATCAAGCCCCGCCTTCTCTATGCCTGTAGTTCTTAAAGTGCTGTGTGGGCCAAGTGGGAGACTCCTCTTGGTGGACTGTGAAATTATGTATGATGCATAGTCAGTTTATAGACTAATTTATATTTGTGACTAAACTTTACTTACTGGTAACTTAATGAATTAGGGATTATGAAAGTTGGTATTCATAAACAACAGTTTAGTACCAAAGTTTACTGAGAATACTAGTTGAATGATCTAGTAAGAATTCTGGCCACCATGCAATGCTTGGGATTGGTTCCAAGTTCCTGCAATTTTCACAATTTGGGAAAAGGATACTTTATTTGTGCACCATCTTAGATTGGTTGGAATGGAGTTTTCAAATTGTTCCTGTTTTTAAATTGTCTATTACTGTTAGTTTAAAGTGTCATGATCAATTTATTTTATTTAATATTGATTTACATGGTAATATGTAGTTGCTTTTTGCTTATTTTCGAGGAGCTAGGCTTTAGGATTTATATTTGCTGTGGTTCAAATATGAATTGTTTATCACCTATTACTGAAAGAGTTGGTTACCTCCTTCCTTTATTCTATTAATACCTCCTAACCCTTCTTTCCCTAAGAGAGAAAAATTGGTTTTATATTATTATTCTCCGCTGGAGAGTGAGATAGGTATCCCCCAGAGTCTCATCCCCTCCCAAGTAGGCAATGCTCAAAAGAGTTCAAGCTGTCAGTTCTATACAAGGAAGCAAAGAAGCTGGCTCTTAGAAGCTACCTGCAATCTCTTCTCACTCCAGTCTGTAACTTTACTACAACAGAAGTGCTTAGGATGCTTATAAACTAGTAGCCTGTTTTCAGTACCTGATATGCTTTATATTTGTGGAGTTCATTCTAGTGTTTCCTACATTCTTACACTCTTATCTTCTTACATTTGGATACTAATTGCAGCTCTCCAGGTAATTATCATAAACTTTATTCAAATAACTAGGGGCCCAGTACATGAATTCATGCACCTTGAAAGGAACTGTGGGCTGCGAGGCTGCAGTGGGCACAGGGGCAGGTCTCAGCCCATCCTCTGTGCTCCGCCCAGCCCTTCCCACCACAGCTCCCCCCCACCACTACCACCCCCTTCCCCTGTCTGCCAGCAGCCCCGTTCCTGCTGCTGCTGCTCATACACACTGATGGTGCCGGCCCCTCTCGCACCCGCTGACGGCACCGAGCGATTGGGGCCGGCGCTGGGTGCTGGCAGTGAGTGCGAGTGGGGCCAGCGCCGGCAGCGGGTGCAAGCGGGACCAGCGTCAGCAGCAGGTGCGAGCACCCAGCGGGACCATGGCGCGCGGGAGCAAAGAATTTCAGAAACCACCCGTTGACAGCAACCGGCACCCTGCCTTGGTCTGGCGCCCCCACTCACCTCCACCATCCCGCCACAGCTGATGTCCGCCATGTTCTGCGCTCTGTCGCCTGCTGCCCACCATGTTCTGCACGTGTCCCCTGGTGGTCAGTGCATGCCATAGTGACCAGTTGTTCGGTTGTTCCACTGTTTGGTCTATTTGCATATTAGGGTTTTATATATATAGATGATTGAATTCTGTATGTTACCCTCCCCCTGCTTTGGGATGGGCAGCCTGTTGTATAAAAGTGAAGAACAGTTTACAGATGACAGTTGGATTCTAGTTATCAAATAGGTTGGGAGGCAGTCAGTAGTTTGGTCAAAGATGGAGCACAGCTTATAAATCCTAGGTACTAATGCATATCTAGGTACCAGAGTGTTTGTACTATTAGAGGTAGGAAGAAAGGTCCTACAGATTATCTGTTTAGAGTGTGTTGTGTAGTGTTGTAGACCAGGGATTATAGTGATGGATTGTCTGCATTTTAATCTCTTGTCAGCAATATGAATTTCAGCAATCTTTTTGAAAATATACATATATTTTTATTGATTTCAGAGAGGAAGAAAGAGGGAGAAAGAGAGATAGAAACATGAACGATGAAAGAGAATCATCAATCGGCTGCCTTCCACACACCCCTCACTGGGGATTGAGCCCATAACCTGGGCTTGTGCCCTGACCTGGAATCAAATCGCAACCTCCTGGTTCACGGATCAACAGAATTTCAGCAACCCTTGAGTCTCAGATTATCTATCTGTAAAATAAAAATAGTTACTTATAAAGTTGTCTTGATAATCAAGTGGGGTAATATGTTTAAAAACAGGTAGGAATTTTTTTTTTAAGTAGGTAGGAAATTGAAACATAAAAGTTAGCATCACAGCCCTGGCCAGATGGTTCATTTGGTTGAAGTATTGTCCCATACACCAAAGGGTTGCTGGTTCAATTCCCAGTTGGGGCACATACCTAGATTGCAGGTTCATTCCCTGGTCAGGGTCTGTACAGGAGGTGGCCAATCGATGTTTCTCTCTCACATTGATGTTTCTCTCTCACTTACTCTCTCTAAAAAGCAAGAAAAGCATATCCTATGGTGATAACTAAAAAAACAAAAATGTTATTATCTCATTGATTACTCTTCCATAAACTGTTTTATAATCCCTATGGTTCTGGCTCATTCCAGAAAAGACCGATTTATCCTAAGAAATTCTCAAATTTTAACTCTTTGACATGTATATCCTGGCTTTCCTTGGCTTCTGTGATGAGCATTGACTCGGCCAGGAGGCTTTTGATAATTTACTCAAGATCTTGGGTAACTAAGAAGTTATCTTGGACTCGAGATGAAGCCAAAAGTGAGAGTATAGGCTTTTAGTAGTAAAAATTTGTGACAAGTGCTTGCTTCTCCTTGTTCATCAATACTAGGTTGACAGAGCTTTTTACTTTACTATCTGATAGGTGAAAAATGGTATCTAACAGTTGATTTGATTTACATCTTAATTTTTAATGAGAATAGAGCCTCTTTTTCCTATGAATTATCTCTTCCTGTTATTTATTCATTGTTCTGTAGTCTTACAAATTTGTGAAAATTCTTAGTATATATTGGTGACTTTTTTCCCTAGTTCATAATAAAAGAACACAATATAGGTTGGAAGAGCTCACGGTGACATCAGATCCTTGCCCTACTACCACATACTTGCCATTCACTGCTGGCTTTGAAAATATGCTCGTATCCAGGACTGACTTGAACAATTCCTATAAAGGAAAGACAACCTGATATTTGTTTCTTTGTCCTTTAATTCTTTATTTTCTGGGAAGCAGACATGAATTTCCTGTGCCCTTATTTCCTGTTTGGGGCCTTTATCAATATAATCACATGGCTTCTGGTATTTCCTTTCAATTGAAGAAACTGAGCTTTGTGGGCTTTGTGGATAAGTACATTTAAAATATCCAAACACATAACATTCAGCACAACAAAAACTATGGCTATGAATGCAGGTACTCATTGTTGCTGTCACACACTTTGAAATCCTTTAATACCCCTGTATCTGAGTATTTATATCCCTATATATAATTAAAAAGTTAAAAAACACTTAAACCTGAATTAAAATCCAAAGTATGGTTATTTATGCATATGCAGTTTATTTTTAACATTGTGAATCAAGATACAAAGGCTTTCACACTTGTAATAGCCAAGTACTTTATAAATATAGAAAGCCCATAGATGTTTAATAATATAGAAGTCTGTCTATTCTGGTAGTTGTTGTCCCCATATAACCCAGTGCAGTCCTTTGGTCTAGCAGTGCAGGTTTGGGAATTTAAACGTATATTTTTCTTTTAGCTTCCGTTTTCAGTTTGGCTCAATTTACTTAGATGAATTGGCCAACCTCACTATCTTAGTTTCTTAAGCTGTGAATTTGGTCATACACAATGTTGTTTTCAATGTTGAAAGTTTCAAGTGGATAATGTGAAACATTTTTGATCCTTGACTTAAACACTGAATTATGGTATATTAATTTCTTCAAAGGAACTTCAAGCATGATATAAGTAAACTCATTAATTTTTACAATATTCCTTTGAGGTATACTGCCAATGTTGTTGCTGCTGCACAAATGGCAGGGCACTTTGAAAGCCTTAGTGATTCATCCAGAAGGACTGAACTAAGTTCATAGGTCATTCTACTCTGAAGAATCCACTCTGTTATTCTGAGAACAGTGGGTTCCTCTCCTATATTGCTATGCAGTGATGATGCTAGATGACTATGTCATAAAGACCATTTTTAGTGCTTTGAGGTGTACTGAGTATATGCTATTGGGAAAACTTGTGAGATTCACCTCTATGTGATTTGAATTGGGAAGGAGTATCTAAATTTATGAAAAGTTTGAATTATGTAAAAATATTTTTTATTAACTCCTACCTGCAACAATATTTAGTTGAGTAGTTTAGATCTAAAGTTCAATTTTTCTGGAGCAGAAGAGGAATTAAATGCTTCTTTAGGCTGTCTTCTTTTTTTTTTTTTTTTTTTTTGAAGAATGACCCTGTTTCCTAAGCTGGGGTTTGCTTTCAGCTCACCACTGGAATGCACCAGCCAATAGGCTGTCTTCTTTAAGTTATCTTACAATCTCTTGCCATAGGAGACAAAAGCTTCTACCCTAGTTCCCCCTCCCTAAGCAAAGAGCAAGGTAGTCAGCAGTACTTCTTCCCTAGCCCTAAGGCAGGCTGACTTGAACAAACCCCTCTGGCTCCAATACACTAAGCATCTGGACTGAGTGGCCCTGTCCACTACCATTTGTTGTAACAACTTCAATGTGTGGTATAAACCCATCTCTTGTGGAAGGGAAACTCATCTAGTTTCTACTGCTTTGGCAGTCATTCTGGCTCTTAAAAACATGTTTTTAAATGGATAAAATAAAATTGTAATGTTTCCTAGGAAACCAAATATATTGGAAAAGTTATAATAGTAGAACAAAAATTTTTATGTAATATGTAACATTCTAATAGCTATCATTTTGAACAAGTATAAGTGTAAAGCTATTGTGAAAAATCTATAATTGTAATATAATATGACTGTTTTTTTTTTGGTTTTTTTTTTAATTTTTCGCTAAAAGTATTACAAAGGGTATTACATAAGTGTCCTTCCCCCCCCCCCCCACCCTTGACAAGCCCCTGCCCTCCCTTACCCCCCAGTGTCTTATGTCCATTAGTTATGGTTATATGAATGCATACAAGTCCTTCGGTTGATCTCTTACTCTCCTCCCTCCTGTCCCCCAACCCTCCCTGGCCTTCCCACTTAATATGACTGTTTTAAACCTTATTGTAAAATAGAACATAATACTAGTTGGTAGAAGGTTTTAGTTATAATTTCTCTTCTCCTATGGACCACCATGGAACAAAGAAACTTGAAGACAACTCTTTTAATCTATTGGTGCATCTGGAAAATCATAACAGTACTTGATAGTTTGAATTTTCTCCAGCCATGGGCTCTAGAAATACCTAAAATGAATGATATATATTAAAACACTTGCTTGGAAATTAAAGTGTAAGAGGGAATGTATTCTGTAAAAAAAAAAAAAAATTATTCTGGGGCTGGAAAGGGAATTTACCTTGTACATAAGGATGAGTATTTCCTGGAAGAAAAAAAAAGTGAATGCCTTTAAATAATGAAGTTTTGTCATCAGATCGTTTTTACTCCTATTCTGCTTTGAGTAAAGGGATAAAAAAGTGTATATAAAGTGTCCCCCAACCCCTTCTTTTTGGTAAAAGACTTAACTAGGTTTTTGTTTTGAATTCAGAAGAAGAGGGGTAGGGTGGTTGTTGTTGTTGTTGTTGTTGTTGTTGTGTGTGTGTGTGTGTGTGTGTGTGTGTGTGTGTGTTTAATTGTGGACTGAGAATGCTTGTGTTATGTATTCATCCAGCCTCCCCCGCCCCCTCACTTATCTCTGGTATTGAGATTGTTTTGAAAATATGCTGAGATAACAACACTTGAAACTTATCTACTTTTGACTTGCGATAACTCTATGACATTAAGTCCTTTAAACTTTCTTCTGTTCAAATAAAAGAATTCTCTTCCATCAACTACCCAAAGAAATTGCCTGAAAAAATTCAGCTGATGAGATTTCAGAGAATTATTTTTTCCATTGGCACTCATGTGACTTTTTTTCGTTACACAATAGGACTTAGATCAAAATGTTTACATGTTCAAGTTTTTTTAGTGGAGGGTGAAGGGATGGGGACAGAGGCACTGGGAGAGAAAACATGCAAATATGACAACCACAGAGTTCTGGCACAAGGTAGGGGAAAGAATGTCTTTGGATCTAAATCTTTGCAATAAAAGGCAGCAAATTCTATTTACTTGACTAGACCTATAATGATCATTGCCTAATATTTTCTCGATTTTTCCCCTTTTTCTTATAAGGTAAATTTGAAGAAAAAGAAGATAGTGTGCCTAAGCTAGAGCAGCTCAACAGCCTGGGTTGTATGACTAATATGAATCTAGTATTGACAAAACAAAATTTGCTACATATGGAACTATTATTATTAGAAACTTTTCAGTGGAACCTCTGCCTTCCAACAGCTGCCCATTTCATCGAGTATTATCTCTCTGAAGCAGTACACGAAACAGATCTTCATGATGGCTGGCCAATGATTTGCCTGGAAAAAACTAAACTCTACATGGCCAAGTATGCAGATTACTTCCTAGAAGTATCTTTGCAAGGTGAGTGATTGTGGATGCCAGTAAGTGACTTGTGAGCTTGTGACTTGTGTATTCTGTTGCTTAAGTTCATTTTTGATGTCTCCACAGATTATGCCTTTCTAAATTATGCACCTTCTTTAGTAGCTGCTGCATGTGTGGCTTCTTCAAGGATTATACTTCGTCTTTCTCCAACGTGGCCTACAAGACTTCATCGTCTTACTGCTTACTCCTGGGATTTCTTAGTGCAGTGCATTGAACGGCTATTGATGTAAGCCTCTCTGTTCTTTTGTTTGCAATTTCTCATAAATATTTTTCTTCATGTATAAGGGGCCTTAAAAGCAACTTTTCAAATGCATGGAGCTTTTAGGGTATTTGCTCTGATAGCTTTTGCTGCCATGAACAAGCTGTTGTAAGAGTGATACTTGGTGGAAAGGGACCCCCTTTTGGCTGTTATCCAGGTCGATGCCATTGCTAGTATGATTCTGAGTACATGATAAGGAAAGAAGCTGCTCTGGTGCAAGCCCATGATTATGAGATCAGTCCAGGCAAATCTTGCCTTGCTCTTCATTACCACATCTTTGAATCATTGAGCCCCAGGATGTCACCAAAGTAGGGGTTACAATTAAGTGCTTATTGTAGATATATCTCCCAAGCTAGACATAACCTTTAAAGCTACCAGCAGCCGGTTCCCTAGGTTTGTACTAAGGGAAGGAGCTCTTAGAAGGATAAATGAGATCTCACTGTTGTTGAAATTGTGGTTACAGTGACAGCTTTCTAGGTATAGTGGTGCTGTCTGTGGAGTCAGCTGTGGAGGAGTTGGGGGTGGTGCATGACTTTCTACAAATTCTTCTCAAATAACATTAGCAGTTTCCTTTCAATCCATGTTGTAGTGCTCATGATAATGATGTGAAAGAAGCAAACAAACAAAGAGGACAAGCAGTACCTCAGCCAGCACAACTAAGTGTGTTCCAGACAACCTCCCAGCCCTCGCGGTCAGTTCACTTTCAACAACCTCAGTATCTCCATCAGACGCATCAGACCTCACTGCAGTATCGCCATCCTGTATCAGAGCAACCAAGCTGTCAGCAGATTGTATCTACTACACACACCTCATCTTACACACTACAGACATGTCCTGCTGGGTTCCAGACTAGTGTTCAGGGCCTTGGGCATGTGCAGACTGGTGTTGGGATGTCACTGGCAATACCAGTGGAAGTTAAGCCCTGTCTAAATGTTTCTTATAACCGGAGTTATCAGCTAAATGAACATTTCCCTTGCATTACTCCATGTTTTGAAAGGTGATTTTGTGTGATGGTAATGGTAACACCTGATCCAGACTGTTTTGTGACTTGAAGCTGTGGGCCAGCTTTTTGTAAACTTCTCTAAAGGGATTCAAATTGCATCAGAACTCTTCAAATAGCAGCACCAGGAAGACTGAATATTCCTTTGAATGCACCATGAATACTGGGAGGACTAAGCACACACTTTAACAGTATGTATGTCAAATTCTGTTAAATAGCTACATGACAAAAGTTTTAAGCCCCTGCTGATGGTCCAAGTATTTCAAAAATATTCAATACAACAAAATTTGAACAGTTTCTATCCATTTTGCTGTTTTGAGAGTTGACCTGTGGTGGGCTCTGCGCCTAATGTTGGCTTATATTGTCAGAGATTAATAGTTGTCTGTGTACTTGCCAAACAGTCTTTTTATGAAGGAAAGTTACAGTATTAATTTTTGAAGAGGTCCTTTTTTTTTTATTCTGCAGTTTTGAGTTATATTCTTGTTCTACAAGTGATTTTTTGACTTAAGTTTAAACTCATGAATTGCCATACCGATCTGTACAGTAAAAATAAATGTTTTAGATGATTCTATATAACTTCCTATCACAAGAGAGTATAGGTACCTGGATTTATGTACTAAAATTAAGGATGAAGTAGATCTCTTAAAATCATGGCCATAAATTGTTGGTTTTTTTCCCTAAGTGACCAACCTCAAATCTTTAGAATTAAAACACATTTATCTCAGGGAATTTGTACTACTTGGAAACACTTAACTGTAATGCAACATGTTTTGGGAATGTTATAGTATGAGCTACCTTTATAACATAGGTTAAAATACTCCTGCTAGGATGTATTTTCAAATGAGAACATAATTGTAGCTTAGAATGAATGAAATGGTGGTTTCTATCCTTCATAATACATATATAGATTTTGCATTTCTCAGTGCAATGATTTATACTCAGATTTGATTTTACTCTAAAGAAGTTTTTTCAAGGGAAGGCATAACTGTAAAATGTCAATACTAGAATAAAGTTTTGTAGGTTTCTTTTTAAGTGAATGTGGCCAGGGTAGTTCTCAGGTTGTGCTAGAGCAGCACTTTGTTACATGGAAGACAGGTTTTATAAGCAATCTTTGTGTCCAGCTAGTCAGTATAAGCAGGCAAGAGTGTTGATTACTAAACTTCAGTAGCCATTTTCAATAGATTGGCCCCAGAAACTGCCCTGGGACTTTTCACTATACTGGTAATGAGTGAAAACAGCAATAATAAGTCATTACAGCAAGGGCAATTTGAGGGTAATGAGTTTGAAGGGAGTAAACATAAAAAGAAAAATCATTGTAATAACTGAAACTATATACATTGTGCTCTTATCTGTGGGAGAAGAGAGATTTGGTGGAGGGAAGCTTTCTGATTTAAAAATTAGTAAGGTTTGTCTTTTTGTGGTTTTTTTTTGTTTTTTTTAAGATAGCACTTGAATAGAAGGGAAACTGCATGGCAGGTAGGCGACCGCCACAATATGCATTGAAGACAAACTTATAAAGATGTGGGTATGCAGCAGGAGTCTCAGTAAACAAGCCAAATGGCTTCTGTTAGGAAGGGAAGGGACTCAAAAACTGATCCAGATGGCTCCAGTGGATAAGTGTGGGTAGGTGGCTTCTGCCAGTGTGAATTCTTAGAGAATGTCCTTTCCTTAAAACAGAGGTAACTTTTATAATTAGAGTACATAGGGCATGATGTGGATTTATTAGTCTGGTAGATAAAAATAAAAAATTAAAAACCACTCAGGTAAGAACACTTACATGGCAGTTTTCAAGCATGAAAATTGTTTTCTGAAAGTATCATCATTTTTCCTCTTTATAGAAGGCTGCTAATTGAATTTTGGTAGTTCTTACCTCAAGAGAACTTGAATTATTTGGGGGAAAGTGGGTTCATTAGAATATATCTTTCGTATTCACATTCAGAACCCAGCAACCTGGAGTCCAATTTTCAGTGTTTTAACTACCTCAGTAATACTATGAATGTAAGATACTGGGATAGAGATCCCAACTTGAAACAACAACTGGTGCCTATCATAATTTAATGTATTGTCAAATGCTTTTATTGATTGGTTTAAATGTCATTCTTGTTATAGAATATGCCTTTTTAAAAAGCTTATAATAACCCACTCCCAGTTTATATTTAAAAAAGCTAAAGAACACTGGATTACTTTGGGGGCGGGGGTAGAATAAAATAATTGGTTATTATTGCTGCATACCCAGGGTAGGGTGGGATGGGGTTGTTGGAGAACCAGAACTATTTTTAAAACATTAGATTTCAGTATGAATTCAAGTCACAACTGCTAGCTTTGGGAGGTGTGGGTGGGGGGAGTTATGTGGGTTTCGTTTTGTTTAACTTATTGATTAGTCAGTCTTTAAAGTAGGTCTTCTTTTTTTTTTTATATTACTGGACCATCATTAAATGTGTACTGTGAAGAGATTAATGATGTGTATAAAGGGCTTTACCAAAGTCCACTAAATAAACACTACTCAAATACAGACTGCAAACCAAATGTATGTTATAACATTAATGCAAATGGCAAGTATGGTGCTAAAGTCTACACCAGTGGAGTTAGATGAGTGCTATGCACTTAATTTTAAAATAAAACTAGTTTTCAATAAAATGGTTTTGGTGTTTTGTTTTTTAAATGTAAATTTGATGTATACTTGCATCTTCATTGAACCATGTCATATAAGTCAGACTTGAAATCACGATTATACTTGCTAAGAGGCATCTAGATGTAGAATATAACTGTAGTGGTGGGAAGCATTTGTCCATTCATTATGTTTTCCACACCGAGCATCAAAGCTCACAAAAGTATATTGAACGCAGTTTTGGGGCTTTTGAGCTTCCAGTTAGTTGTATGTTAGCAGTGTCTAATTAAACAATGCAAGCTTCAGAAAATTGAAATCTAATTCAAAGAAAATAGTCAAGAGTGTGAGAGGGAACAGGGTCAACAGTGAGTGATAATGGTCTGTTCACCTAAGTTTAAGTATTATTTGCTAGTAATTCAACTTAAAACTTATATATAATTTGTTCTGAAGAGTAAAATTTTAACAGGTTTATGTGTGTGGGTTAGGAATTCACACTCCTAGAAAGCATTTTTTAAATTAGTCTTATGTATTGTCAGTTACTCTGGCACAGTGGCAGGGTTTAGCCACAGCCCTTAAGAGAATCAGTACACAAAGATCTTTGAGGCTGAATTTAAGAAACAGAGCAATAAGCATTTCAAATCAGGACAGGTAGCTTTGCTTTGAGGTGATTCTGAATCCCATGTGACATGTTTTTAATCATCAACAACTGTCCTTCTCAAGTTCATGATAAAAGATTTACCTCCCTAGCCATAAGCAGCTTATATTTAGCTTGATATGACTAGCACACTTGAAACTATTGGAATTGTATAGTCTAGAACTCAGTTTAATATTATCTTGATTTCAGGATCACTAGCTTACAAAGTGGTAGTATCATTTTGCCTTCCCACAAGCATTGAGAGTTCCTGTTGCTCTACATCCTCACCAGCCTTTGGTGGTGTCAGTGTTCCAGATTTTGGCCAATAGATGTGTAGTGGTATCTCATTTAAAAAATCCCTTAGATTAAAAAAAAAAAAAAAAAGTGGACACGCAGGCATGGCTCATTGTTTTGAGCATCGACCTATGAACCAGGAGGGTTCAGTAAACAGGAAGGTCAGGGCACATTCCTGGGTTGTGGGCTCAACCCCTAATAGGGGGCGTGCATGAGGCAACCAATCAGTGATTCTCTCTCATTGATGTTTCTGTTTCTCACTTCTCTGAAAGCAATAAAAATATATCTTAAAAAAACATGTGACAAGTACAGTCATTTGAAAGAAACCATCAAGACCAGACTCTGCCTTCCTATGGGAAAGATACTTGCTGCTACCCTACCCCACTGTGACTGTTGTGTGTATTTTTAAGACTATTTAGAGCAGTTTTAGGTTCACAGCAAAATTGAGAAGAAGGTAGAGATTTCTCAGGTACCTCCTGCCCCACCACATGCACAGCCTCCTCCATTTTCAGCATCCCCCAACAGGGTGGTATATTTGCTACAAATGATACAGCTACATTCACTCATCATAATCACCCGAAGCCCATAGTTTACATTATGGTTCAGTCTTGGTGGTATACATTCTTTGGGTATTCATCATGGTTACATACAAGTATTTTAACTGCTAAAAAGCCTCTATACCCTACCAATTCATCCTTCCCCATACTGTTCCCCAACCCTTGGCAAAACACTGCCTTTTCTAGAATGTCATACAGTTGGGATCATATAGTATGTAGGCTTTCCAGATTTTTTTTCCACTTAGTAATGTGCATTTACTAGTAAGGTTCCTTTATGTCTTTTCATGGTGTGATAGCTCTTTTCATTGTCTGGATGGATCACAGTTTATTTTTCAGTCATCTACTGAAGGCCATCTTGGTTGTCTCCAAGTTTCAGTGATTATGAAGAAAGCTGCTATAAACACTTGTGTGCAGGTTTTACTGTGGGCATAAGTTTTAGTTCCTTTGGGTAAATGCCAAGAATCACAGGGTTAGAGTATGTTTCGTTTTATAAAAAACTGCCAAACTCTTACGAAGTGGTAGTATCATTTTGCCTTCCCAACAAACTCTCGGCAACAAACACTGAGAGTTCCTATTGCTCTACTAGTACATCCTCACCAGCCTTTGGTGTTGTCAGTGTTCCAAATTTTGGCCAAATACTAGTAGATGTGTGGTGGTATGTCATCTTAATTTGCATTTCCCAAATGACAATTGATGTGGAGCAACTTTTCATATGCTTATTTTCTATCTGTATACCTTTGGTGGGTTGTGTGTTAAGGTCTTTAGTTCATTTTAAAAATCAGGTTGTTTGTTTTCTTACTGATTTTTAAGAGTTCTTTGTATATTTTGGATAACAACCCTTTATTAAATGTGTCTTTTGTAAATATTTTCTCCCAGTTTGTGGCTTGTCTTATTCTCTTGACATTGTCTTTTGCAGAACAAAGTTTCTGATTTTAATGAAGTCCAGCTTATCAATCATTACTTATAGAAGGGAATTACAGATACTAAAAGTCTGACTAAATAGAGAATTGAGGGTATTATACAATCAGGGCATTACCAAGGTAACTATTGGAATAAAAATTAAACCTTTCTAATTATCAAAAGAAATACTGCAAACAAAGCAAGCAGTCTATGTAGTAGTAAAATATTTTTTAAAGGTATAAATACAGAAAGTTTAGCAAAATACTGTGACAGAACTAAGACCAAACATTACATCAAAAAATGTAAATGGACTAAACTCAAGCTATTAAGAGAAAAAGAATTTTAGACTAAATCACAAAGCAAAACTCAATTCTGTGTTATATAAAAGACCAACAAAAATAAAATGATTTACAAGAGTTGAAGATACACGGATGAGTAAAGAGATACTACTCAAACAAACAAAAAGCAACATCTTAAAACAGATAAGGCTGAATGCAGGCCCAAATGTATTAAACTAGACTAGAAAAATGGAGGGGGGACGCACACTATAATGTTAAAGGCTACAATCTATATACATAAAAAACCAGCAACTGGAATGCTGTAATGACTGGAACAACCAGTTGCTATGATGCCCACTGTGGCCAGTGAACTACCTGATGGTGGCGGGGCTGACTGGCCAACCTCCCTCGGCTCCTACCCCCAGTAGGCCCTGCCCCTGATCACCCCTCCCCATGGCCGGCCCCGCCCCTAATCAGCCCCCCCACCCCAATTGGGGACAGGGCCCGCTGGCCAATCCCCCTCGACCCCTCCCCACAGCCTGCCCAGCCCTGATCAGGCCCTGATTGGGGTGGGCCAGCCGGCCAACCTCCCACCGTCTCCTCCTCCCAACAGTCCCGGCCCTGATCTGCCCCTATTGGGGCCTGGCTGGCCGGACCCCACCCGTTCACAAATTCGTGCACTGGGCCTCTAGTTTATGATAAAGATGAACAGTTATGAATATCTGTGGATCAAATAACCTTGCCATAATATTAAGTAAAAACTGTAGAGGATATAAGGAGAAATAAAAGAAAAACATGGGTAGTAAGAAACTAATTCATCTCAGTCTATGATGATCAAAAATTGAAAAATTAAGTAAAGATATAGAAAATCTTAACATTATGGAGATCTGATTGACATATATTGAGAAATTCTTAGAAGGGAAATGGTACAGATCTGGCATAACTAAAATGGACAAGATAACAAAGGACGTGACAGACAGAACCTGTCACCCATATCAATAGCAATACTGTCACAGTCTTCTGAAAGTCCTCAGACAACTGGAATTGCTTTCGTTGGTTTACCCATCTAAATGCATAAGATCAGAACACACTGCTAGCTGCCAGCTAATCCTGCAGCTCACCCAAAGGAAACAATATCTGTTGCCAATCTGCAGAAGTATTCCCATTTTTGCCTTCATTAGATGAAAGTAATCCATTACTGGTTTTCCTTATGCACAAGTAAGTAGTGTACTAATACTAGTAACTAACTGTACCTAAGTTTGCCTTGGTAATATTAAACTCCAGTGTGAACTTGCATATAGCTTGACTCTGCATTAATCCATAAAGAAAACTGCAACCAATCCTCAAAACTAGAATTACTGTAGAAAACATACTCTCATGAAAATACAATTAATAAAATATATAGAATAGGACTCAAAAAAACCCCAGACAATCCTTCAATCAAATAAGAAATCCAACCCAAAATTTCAGAGTATCTGTAGAATCACTATAATGAAAATTCTACACATCAGAAACTCAGGGATAAAACTAAAATAATGCTCAAAAGAAAATTGACATGCATTGAAAAAGTCTAAGAATGAATAAGTAAACCAAACAAAAACTGAAGGAAAAGAATAAGATAAAAGCAGAAATTAATAAAAGATAAAAAATACATGTATGCAATGCAGCTAGACAAAAGAAAATAGAGTTTAAAAGTTGCAAAGGAAGAGGTGAAATTACCACTATTTGCAGATATAATTGTAAACCTGGAAACTCCACGATAATCAACTGAAAAAATATTACAGACAATAAGTGAATTCAGTAAAGTGGCTGGGTACATAATTAAAATAGCTTTTATATATACATACAACTATCAGATATGCTCAATTACTGGTATAATGGCCACCAAAAGAAGATAAAATGCCTAGCAATAAATATAAGAAATGTACAAGATCAATATGACCAAAAACTTTGAAATACTTCTGAGTTACACAAAAAAGTACTTGAGCAAGGCATACCATATTCTTGGATAGCAGGTATCAACAATTTTTAATTATAAACCTGTTTTTTATCAAAATTATTTCTTGCGTGAAATTTGGGACACCCTTTATTTACCTGGCCTGCATACTGAATATCTATATATATAAAACCCTAATATGCAAATTGAACAGCAGAACAACTGAACAACCGAACAACCGGTCGCTATGATGTGCGCTGACCACCAGGGGGCGTACAGGGAATATATCAGGCATCAGCAGCAGGCGGCAGAGCGTGGAACATGGTGGGCATCAGCTGTGGTGGGATGGTGAAGCAGGTGAGCGGGGGCGCCAGACCAAGGCAGGGCACCAGTTGTTGTCATCGGGCGAGCCTCTGGTGGTTACTGAAAA